CCCGACCATTCAATAACTTTGTTAGCATTTCAGAGAAGATTGTAGAGATGGCATGAAGGAAAATGAGAGTAGGTCTTGGGTGTGCAAACTGAATGGCCTTCCAAATGAAAATTACCACCACCCAAATCTGGACCGAGGCCTCTGAGGAACAGGTTTTATAAAATAGAATGGTCACACTAATAAACCACCTTTTGGCTGCTGTTCTATTTCACAAGTGAGACAGAAACATTCAAAGTTATTTCTCTTTGCAGGTACTTATCAGCGGTTTTCTAAAGAAGTAAATGGTTCAGAAGGATTCCTTCATACTCTGGCTCCCTTAGGCACAAACTTAACAAACAGGAAAGGCGACACCACATTTCATTTTATGCCTTCCTTTCCCCTGGATGATACAAAGACACACTTGGACACCATTAGTAACAATCCAAATGTCCTTAAACCGGATACTAACTAAGGAGATTACAGAGCTATCAGTCAACATCCCCCTGCAAGCAGAGTAGGAAAAGAAAGCATTAAATGGATTTTGTTTGGCTGGTACCACATGTTCCACATGTTCATATTTAAGCATGCATCATCCAGTACTTTTAAAATTAAAGAAACATGACTATAAGCCAAAGATAAAAATGATTGGTCTATGCTAAATATAGTGATGATACACTTTTGCATCTTTATCTTAAAACTATCTGTACCACACCAGGAAAGTTCCCAAAAGGCATTCATGTGTTTTAATGGATATCACCAACTTGCTCCTGATCCTTCAGTGTGTACTCTGTAATAAGTATTTGGAAGTAATTTCACCTAACATGCCAAACAAACTCATTATGTTAAGGGATTATAAGCTTTTAAAAAGAAGGATTTATTACATGTAGTCAGATGGTATTAAGTTTGTAAGTTGAAATGGTAGTACACACTAGGTTGATGAGTTGATATTTTATAAGATGGTCAGAAATTTACACTTGTGATTTGACATTCAAGTATAACTAGAGATCAGTACTAGGCAAAGGATATACAGTATAAGCCTAATCAATTCCTGATCAATTCTAGGGGGTATAGGCTTGAGCTAGCAGTATGTCTCAGTGATTGGGGAGAGCAGAGTAATGAGATACATGCAGATTGTCCACACAGAGTAAAGTGTTTGCCTATGGCTATCACAAAATTCAATAAGTGAAAAGGGCCAAAATTTATTTAACGGAACGCAGCTTATGATGGCAATTTCTATGCTATCAATGGACATTTGTTTGTTTTAAAGGAAATTTAAGTTCTAAGTTAAAAAAAATACAATTCTTAACAAAGATACAACTGGCAAAGATTAAACAAATTTTTGTGAGAATACAAGTTGATATATATTTTTTCTTATAATAGTAAGGTAATGTGTATTAACAGCCTTAAAATGCTCATATTCTATAATGTAATCATTCCACTTCTAGTATTTTTCCCCCTAGGATGCCTGAACAATAAATGTAAAACACTGCCCTTCATAGCATAGTTAAAATGGAACTTTCTGAAGTCTCCTTGTATGTGTTTCAGTTATTGTAAAGAATACTACACCCAAAGTGAACTAACTCACTGCCATTGAGTCAATTCTTACTTAAAATAATGTTTTAGAAGAATATATACTTATTATAAGCACTTTTAATCATGCTTTCAAGAAAAACAATTTATACCTAGGAAACACCCCCCACCCCACCCCCCAAAAAGGCAATAATACTCAAGATCTTCTGAATGATGAGTTCCTGAGTAAATTTAATATACTATTCTCAGTACTTTCATGTAATATAATCAGGAAAAAAAAAAACCACATAAAAAGACAGCTTTTAGTTAAAATTCATTCATCTCTGAATTATAAGTTCTTTTAAAATAAGCTTTTGACACAGAAGAGAATCTCATATTTTTCTAAGATAGCACTACCCCCAAATACCAATGCCTCTGCTGTCTCCCAGATCACCATTCAGCAAAGCAACCAATGTTCTTTAAAACAAGGACATAGTCTCAGAAACCCACACAGGCAGTTCTACTCTATCCTAAATGGTCACCATCAAGTCAGAACAGACTCAACGGCTACAAGTGGGTAAAATAGGCAAACAGAATATGAAATAAGAGAGATGATTAACCAAGAAAGACGATAGGAACGATTTATAAAAGTCAAACCAACAAAAACTTTTAAGAAGAGTAATATATAGCTGGTACAGTTACTATTATAGGAAATCTTCTAAGTAAATGGGTTACAAATACCTATAGACATACCTGGCAGGGCAGTTATGAAATCCCTCTGCAACATTGGTTTAAGATACGAGTTTATGTGACCATGTTGGTAATGACACATTTGGGATATAAGATGTTCAACAAATTCTACTTGATCGGACTCTGACCACTGCTCAAAATACTTGACACACAATTCTTTTTCCTTTTCATAGCTTGCTGAGAGTTTCCGTTGCTTGGGAACAATCATACTGGAAGTGCCATTGGCAAGTTTTGTCTGTAGAAGAGAGGAATTAAGAGAAATAAGTATTGAAATAGAAAGAAATGCATACTTTTTTCTGGTCTGGCATGCTACATATGCCTAAATGATAGTGTCCACTTGTTACTCTACTGGCAAGTTGTGAACAGCAAGTACATGGAAAAACTACAGATATGCTGTAATAGGCTGGTGTCAGGCATACTGCCAGAAGACTAAGCATCCATTTTGCAAAGTTTACAGGGAGAAATTCTTATTATTTGGAGATACAGAAATGAACACCAAAAGCCAAACATACTACTTGGTTTTTCTTGTACATACTAGTTAATGGATATTTATTCAATTACTTGATGACAACTTATTTTTAAATAAGAAATCCTCTAAGCAAAGAAAGGCCAATGAACATTTTAACTGTGCTAATAAAGGTTAAAAAACATGTATGACTGGAGGAGGGAGGAGGAAACATGAGGAGCTGATATCAAGGGCTCAAGTAGAAAGAAAATGCTTTGAAAATGATGATGATAAGACATGTTAAGAGTCCCCAATAAAAGTATTTAATAATAATATTAATAAAATGTATGACCAATCTACCCTTCTTAACCACCTCACTACAGCTGATCTCTACTGAATATAAAAGTTCTATGTTTAAAGGGTTTCTTTTTAATCTTTTTATTGGAGGCTCATACAACTCATCACAATCCATACATCCATCCATTGTGTCAAGCACATTTGTACATTTGTTGCCATCATCATTCTCAAAATGTTTTCTACTTAAGCCCTTGGTATCAGCTCCTCATGTTTTCTCCTCCCTCCCTCCCGAACCCTTGGTAATTTATATACAGTGAACCCTAGCCACTTCGCGCTTCGACTTCCGCAGCTTCACTCTATCGCGGTTTTTGCGTAACAGCGCATGCTCTGTCATTACTGCCACTGATTGGCTCATACTGTACACGCTTGATGCCATAAATAATATAATAAATAATAAATGATAATTGTAACGTCCAAAATGTTTTACTGTATTTTCCCTTTTTCGTTTAATAAATTGGGTAATACGAGTGTAATGGTGACTAAAGGGTGTTTTTTCATGTCCTCTATGCTCTAACTACGAAAATATTTGATTTACAAATAAGGAATCCTACTTCGCGGACTTTCATTTATCACGGTAGGGTCTAGAACCGATTAACCGCGATAAACGAGGGTTCACTGTATTATTATTATTTTTTCAGGTCTTACACTGCCTGATGTCTCCCTTTACCCACTTAAAAAGTCTTTTTTAATGATTGCTTCATTCAATCGATAAGTCTTTACCATGCATCTACAGTGGTCCAAACAATATTCGAAGTGCTAGAAAAACAGTGAACAAAATAATGCAGTCATTTGTTACCGTGGATTTGAAATCTAGTGGGAGCAGCAAGTTAACCACATAAACAGAAAGTATAATGTAAATAGTCTTATGAAGAAAAATAAAGTAAGATAAGAGAGCAAAAAGTAAGTGTGTAGCTATGTTAGGTAGACTTCTAAAAGGGTCCCAAGACAGTTGGCCCATACTTTCTCTATTATTAGAACAAACATTAATGTGGGTACTGCTGTGAGATATTTTGCAGATGTAAACTGAAGTTCACAAATCAGCTGAACTTTAGAAAGATAACCCAGACAGGCCAGACCTAGTCATGGGAGCCCTCTAAAGGCCAGAGAGTTTTCTGACTGGTATGGACAAAGTAGGAGGCCATATGATTAAGGAGTGTGGTCACCTGAGAATACCTCCTAGCAGACAGCCTGCAAGGAAACAGGGGCCTTGGTCCTACAACTGCAAGGAAGTGAATTCTGACGAAAAACCGTCCACCATATACCCCCACCCTCAAGAGCCTACAGAAAAGAAATCAGCCTGAGCCCAGACATAGCTGTGCCGTGCCAGATTGTCACCTCCAAAACCATGAGCCAGGTAAATGGATGCTGTTTTAAAGCTGTTAAACGTGGGGTAACTTGTTAAGCAGCATACACAAATTTAAGAAACTTAATATAATTGTTTTTATTTAAGGGTAGGGGATGGTTTCTCTAAAGAGATGACATTTGAAATGAGACAAACGAAATGAAAGAAAAAATGAGGGGACAAGGTAGAAATGAACCCAAGTTGTTATCTGGGGGATAGAGGGGTCCACACAATAGAAATCTCAAAACCAATGGCCTTAAATTGGCATGTGTCTGTCATGTTGACGAGGCCCATTGTGACTGCAATAGAGCTAATCAAGGAGAAATCAGTGTGGAGAGACTGGTTGGAGTCAGATCACTTAAGTCATTTCGATGGTGGTAACTAATCCACAAAGGTAACCCTAAATCAGGGGTCCTCAAACTATGGCCCGTGGGCCACATGCAGCCTGCCGAGGACATTTATCTAACCCGCCAGATGTTTTGCCCCATTTGTTTTTTTACTTCAAAATAAGATATGTGTAGTGTGCATAGGAATTTGTTAATAGTTTTTTTTAAAAAACTATAGTCCAGTCCTCCAACGAGTCTTAGGGACAGTGAACTGGCCCCGTTTAAAAAGTTTGAGGACCCCTGTCTTAAATGATTGCAGTCTTCTAATACACATGCTGTTCCACTCATCAAGCAGTGGTATTTACAGCCTATCCTTTGAACAGGAGCTTCCACTTCTAACAAAACATAGAGAAAGAGACCTTCTAAGACTTCTGAGTCCAGGCAGCTTCTGATTATTCCTCCTTAGAGTCTTGAGTTGCCATATAATAAATGCAGGCACGTCTGCTGGAAGGTGAGAAGCTACGCAGAGAGAAAGATCACATGCTGAAGCACGCACCTAGGAACTTGGTGTGATGTGATCGGATTTAACACGAATGGAAAAAATAAGAGAACTTAAAAGATTACTTCAGCGGTCCATGGAAGTGTTGACAACATCTTGGACTAGAGCAATGGCTGCAGAGGTGGTAAAAAAAATAATTGAGATTCAGTGAATAACTTGAAGGCAGAGCCAAGTGAATTTACTGACAGATTGGGTATGGCATGTGAGAGTGAAAAGGCAAAGTCAGGATATCAAAGTTCAAACTTGGGGGATAATGGAAAAAAAGATTCTGAAATTTTTGCTACTGTGAAGAAAGTATAGGTTTTCTTTAGAGGATAACCACAAAGTGGTACGTCTGGGTACTTTTAAAGAAATGTGATGGATCTTTGGCAAGTTTGATTTGACTGGGAGATCCTTGTTACTAGAGAGCTTATCCCTGCCAGACATACTGAATGTGCAACATACCAAAACAGTACCAAATCTAGATGATCAATTTCTGCTATTAATGCATAGGCTTACCTTACTTCTAAAAGTTAAATTCTACTAGTATATGCAAGCTTCTTAACAATGGTCCCTGGCATGCAGTTGAAAATGTATTTTATACTGAAAGAGCTGACACCTGTAAACAGCAAGCCCTTGGTGTACAGAGTTGGACATTTTCTAGCATAAATGTCAGTGTTGTCTATGCTATAGACTAAACATGATTAATAAGAACCTTGTTGGACACAGGCCTTGGGAGACTTCTAGGCTGCTTTTTGTGTAGGTTATTTGCATCTCAGGAAAAGAAAAGTCATGAAGTGTGAAGCAAGATTTAAAAAGCCAGCAAATAGGTGGGCTTACAAATTTGACCAAATGCCACTCCCTCGCTGTCCAAACCAAAACTAACTACTCTTATTGATAATTTTTTATATATTGCCCCTTTGTCTTTTAAAAGGTGCACATAGACTTTGAGTTGGGTGCTATCCAGAATATCATTTCCTAGGTAAAGACCAGAAATGCCAGTAACAAAGAACAACCAGCAAGTGGATGATATGATTCTGTTTATACTTTAAAACAAACCAGATATTGCTAAAATCAAGGGAATGTTTGTGCCATACTACGAGTAGTGGCTATCACACTATTAACAGTTAAAACTGTCTTTGGATTTCATAGGTTTGGTTATCACATTGTAAGAGCCAAAGTTTAGTGAAATGAATCTTTCGTTCTTTCTATGATCAAATCATAACTAAGTGGGACCTAGCAACAGTTGACAATTAGAAATGAAATGTAAAGAGAAAGTGTATAAGAATGAAATGCAAATAAGGTGCATGATTTTACCAACTATTCTTCTGGTAAAGATAACCTATAAATGGTTTTGGTTGTACAGACTTGTAGTCACCACCTTCTAAAACTGTGCATATTAAAAATCTTCATTTATCAGCTACGTGACATGAAATAGATTTTTCTGAGGCTCTGGTTCCTCATTTGTAAACCAAATAATAGGGAGGAACAAATAAAATTATGAAAAGCATGTTTAGCATATCACCTGGCATATAGCAGTACTTAATAAATGAGAGCTATCAAAACTATTTCAATAAGGTTAAGATGTTTTTGGAGTTGAACTCCCACACACTGTTTAAGACAAAGACTTCTTTGTCACTACTTCTTGTTAAATTTTCATTGCAATGCAATATACTTAAAAGTACATAATTTTGAGAGTATGTTGGGGGCTTCTAAGAGTCTATGGAAAAATTCCATTACCTTTCAATTCCATTCTCCATGAACTTTTATTATTTTTTTGAAGCCCCTGATATGCAGTGTAGCTTTCACAAGATGAACGGAGCCATGTCACAAATAACCAGATCAAGAAACAGAACATTCTGAGCCTCACAAGACCCCTTGTGCTCTTTTATACTTTAGGGCACTGTCCCCTTGAAGGGCAAGCACTGTATCAACTTCAATAGGAGCTCTATACCAACCTCGACATCTGTTCCAAACTCTGCCTATACAATTTATAGTAGCATTAAAAAGAACTTGAGGGGGGAGGGAGGGAAAAAAGAGGAGCTGATAAAAAGAACTTGAGGGGGGAGAGAGGGAAAAAAGAGGAGCTGATACCAAGGGCTCAACAGAAAGTAAATGTCTAGAAAATAATGATGGCAACATACGTACAAATATGCTTGATAAAACTGATGTATGGATTGTTATAAGAGCCCCCAATAAAATAATATTTTAATTTAAAACAAAAGAA